TCAGGCTTTCTTGACTTGGTCAGAACCCTATTTTATAATCCTACTATGACCATGAACCTTTCCTAAGTAGCACTTCTAGCAGTTGGATGTTTGCATTTATTTGTGTAGTGATCTAATGAATTTCATGAGGTCAAGAACTCTGATTTTACTAATTATTATATCCCACCCCCTGTCCATGAGCTACCACTGTGGCTGGCATACAACCTGTGCTCATCAAATTTATGAAGGAGGGAGGGAGGGAGAAAAGGAGAGAGGGAAAGTCCGACGGAGATTTACTAGGCTTAATAGCCTGCAAAGGTGGTCTCTATACCCTCATCTGTAAAATAGAGATAGACGATAATGCCCATTTCCCAGAGTCGTTATGGGAATTCTATGAAATTGTCAGTGAGATGCTGTTTTATAAAATGTGAAATGAATAGCATTTTAATACAAGGCAGATTGCTAAAAGCATTATAGCAGCCTGAGGTGAAAATATGGAGCTAAAAGAGAATGAAAGAAAGGTAATTAATTCCCTCCAGAATTGAGGCAGAGAATAGATCAACGATGGAAAAGGTGGTAGACGGCTGAGGAATGAGTAGATTTTAATAAATAGAGGTAGAACACCTACTTTCTATACTCTATAGAAAGTGCATGTGTGTGTGAGTGCATGTGTGTGTGTGTGTGTGCGTGCATGTATGAGTTGACTCCTCACCAGAGACGTGGAGTCCCACTTGCTTTGCTCATAGCTGTATTCCCAGTACCTGTAACAATGTCTGGCACATGATTGGTTCTCAGGAAGTGTTTACTGAATGAATGAATAATTGAATGAATGAAGAGGATAGAGAATATCAGAAGAAATGTTCCGAGTAAAAGCATAAACAAAATGTGTCTGGCTCCCTTAGAAAATGGTGTTGATGTGAGGCACATGGGCTTGGAGAGACGAGGCTACACAGGAGGAGGGAGAGATGAGGAAGGGATCCAGAACATGAGAACACAAGCACTGGGAGCTGATGGGCATCCTGGCAGGCTGGTGGGACGTGGGATGCATTTGCGTGGCTGATTTGCAGAATTTCTCAGTTTTCTAACTAAAGCCCCTAGCCCTGACATCTTTAGAGGGAACTGAAGGGAAAATGCTCCCCATTTACAACACCCTGACTCAGCCTAGTAACCAATCATCATTTTCTCCTCTGCACATTATGAGTCTTTGACAACATGTGACAAAGGAAAAAACTACATCTGTAATTATAACAAAGATGAAAACTATGGAAATCATCAGGAGCATCTGAATTCAAAACACCAATGAATGTAAATTATGATATTTGCATAGAAATGTGGTAACCCTACAGATATTGGTTAAAATTCAGAAGTAGATGAATAATGAATAAAATGCCAGTTTTAAATTATAAAATAAAAGTGCAATTACTCTTACCTTTTTGGAAAAATCTCACCCTTAGACGTGCTTAATGAGAGATGGGGAACTGGAAATAAACTGAGTGCCAAGGACTTTCAGTCAGTACATCACGTCCCCCCTCTTTTTTTTTTAATGTTAAGAAATGACTACCTAATCAGTATCTGTGATAATGATCTGTAATCTTACCAGTGTGAGATTGATGATAAATACCAAGTACTGATTTTTTAATAACATGGAAAATAAATATACAACACATTTTCAGGTAGGAGTCTTCTTAGTTGTCCTTAATGGGAAGTCCTTACGGTCCAGCTATAGTAATACAATTCAAGTAAAAATGTTTAAGGTGTCATTTTAATGCAAATAACCTAGCTGCACACTTATAAACTATTGGTGCCCAAAGCTCATTTTTATCTAAGGCTCAAATAGTAAGAATGTTTGATATAATTGAGTTCTTGTCTAATTACATAAAGACTAATTTAGAACCTCATTTATTTGGAGAGTCTCTCGCACAGCAAATCCATTTAAAATGACACATAAGAGGAGGTAATTAAAAATTAAAGTTGAAATCAAGATGAAAAAGGCAAGATTGAAGCTGGTTTCTGCGGCTTTGATTAGTTGTGGAGGGCAGTTGAATGGAGGAGGGGTTTAAAAGGCTTTGAAAGAGACAAAGGAAGAGGAGGAGGGGGAGGGCACACAGCTCCCTAAGGCACCAGAGCTTTGTAAAATTTTTCCAATATATATCCAGTTATGAAGTGGATCACATGCAACCAGGAAAGGTGATGTTATTGAGCATGGGTGAATATTGAGGATTCCCAGGCACTGGACCTGTTCCCCAAGTTTCCTGTCCTGGAAAGGAATGCTCCTTGCTAATAAGGGGAGGACACAGCATCCAGAGAAGCAGGGCAGCTTACATGTGGCACCTGCCTGTAGCATGCTCTTCTGTACTGCAAGCTCTCGGAGCTGCTTCAGCAATAATACACACACATAATCAAAATGGTCTGATCATGTATTTTATAGTTTGCAAAGGGCTTTTACATACATAATCTCACTTCCTCCTCACACCAACTCAGGAAAGAACAAGTACTTTCACTAAGCCTATTTCACAAGTGGAGAAATTGAGGTCCTGAAAGGTTAGGTAACACATCTGAGGTGTAACACATCCAAGGTGCTAGGACTAGAGGTCAAACGCCTTGACTCCAAATCCCAAACTGCATCATTACCTGTTGGTTGACACTTGATTTTTTTTTTAATTTTTAATTTTTTTTTTTTTTT